GATCCAGCCCCAACCCCTGCCCTGGGCAGGGACACCTCCCACCAGAGCAGGTTGCTCAAGGCTCATCCAACTTGGCTGTGAACACTGCCAGGGCTGGGGCAGTCATGATGTTGCCATGGCAGCCCTCACTGTGATCCTGACTAGAAAGCTCTGAAAACAGCCTGCAAATCCCAGTCCCTAGCACTCTGTGTATCCCTTTACAGAGAGCACAAATCCAGCACCATCCCTCACCCTCCTCCTCTCTGTGAAAGAGCATTTGTATCCATGCATTGCAGTACTTCCTTCACATGAGCTCTCCCATCATTTCTGATTCCCAGAGCAGCCCAACTCTTCAGCTGCACACAGACATCTAGTTTCTCCTGCTGGTTTTCCAAGCTGCATACATGTCTATACATTCTTTCAGGAAAGCCTCTCTATCCAAGCACCACACAAAGTGGTGGGAAGGGCCCCTGGAGGTTATCCTCCCCACCCCCCTTGTTGCCCAGGAGCATCTCCAGATGGATTTGGAGTGTCTCCAGGGCTGCAGTCTCCACAGCTTCTGTTGGGTAACCTGTGCCAGTGCACAGTCACTAACAGAGTGGAGAAAGTGTTTGCTGATGCTCAGAGAGAACCTCCAGTGCTTCAGTTTGTTCCCTGGGCATCACTGCTAAGAGCTTGGCCACCTTCTGCACACACTCCATGCCCATCTGACCTGTCACAGCATCTGTGAAAGGATTTGAGCACAATATTCTTCACCCCTGGACCTGCCAAAACGAAATTCTTATCCAAAAGGATAGGAACAGACACTTTCAGTGTATTTTCTCTGGAATTCAGCAGAGTAGAGAGCCCAAGTTCCTCAGTTTTAACAGCTATTGAAGCATCTGCCTTCCCTGCAGTTCTAATTCACTTTTCTGTTTGTTTATATATTTGATTTCGAGCACAGCCTGTGGCAGTAAATTGCAAAATTAATTACATGCAATGGCAAAAAAAAAATCCTTCTGATTTAACACTGGGATCAGATTTCACTGTAGCTGTGGGGGGCATTAGGAGTAAGAGCAAATGCACAGATTATCAGACTCCAGAAATACCTATTGATACAGTTTGTCACTCTTATCATTACTACTGGTGGCACTTAAGAGCATTAATCTAACCTTTTATAGATTCATATATCTCTACCATGGAATCAGTGATGGAAGATGTACATAAAAGTGGATAAGCACTAATAAATTGTGCTCTCTCATTCTCTGGGAGCTACAAGGAATCCTGACACACAGTTATGGCCTTTTCCTTATGGAAGTAACCCCAAAAGGCACAAGGCTGACTGTGATCATGTCTCTAGCCACACAAAGACACTTGTAGTGGACAATATTTCTTCTTCCAGCACAGGATAATATTAAACATTGAAGGGAGAAATCCTCAAGCTTCAACCTTAAACTTAAGTGACTTTGCAAAGCTGTTGACACCTAAATCGAACAACAAAACCCAACAGCTGCTTTTATAATATTAGTACTGCATATTCATCAGGCCATAAAAAACCGTGTGCAACTTTGTACACAGCACTGGGGAGGTCCCAGCTCAGTGCTGTGCTCAGCTTTGGGCACTCACTGCCCAAAGGCCATTGAGGCACTGGAGCGAGTCCAGCCAAGGGCAACGAGGGCAGCAAAGGGCTAGAGCACATGGGCAAGGGCTGAGGGAGTTGGGCTTGGTCAGCCTGGAGAAGAGGCTCAGGGGTGACCTCCTGGCTCTCTGCAACTCCCTGCCAGGGCTGGAGAGAGGTGTGGGATGTGTGTCCTGCCAGGGCTGCAGGGAGAGGATAGAGGGAATGGCCTTGAGCTGAGCCAGGGCAGAGTCAGATTGGATGTGAGGAGAAATGTTTTCCCTGTGAGGGTGTTGAGGCCCTGGGATATTGCCCAGGGAGGTGGTGGAGTCACCATCCCTGGAGGTGTTTCAGAGG